GCTAAATAAATGAATGAGTAACTTCTAATATTCCTTCTCTTTGAACACTTACACTTTTTTTTTGAGATGGAGTCTTGCACTGTCGCTCAGGCTGGAGTGCAGTGGTGCAATCTCGGCTCATTGCAACCTCTGCCTCCTGGGTTCAAGCAATTCTCCTGCCTCACCCTCCCAAACAGCTGAGATTACAGGCACTCACGATCATACCTAGCTAATTTTTTTGTATTTTTAGTAGAGCTCGAATTTCAATATATTGGCCAGGCTGGTCTCAAACTCCTGACCTTGTGATCCACCCACCTCAGCCTCCCAAAGTGCTGGCATTGCAGGCATTAGCCACCATGCCTGGCCTGAAAATTTATACTTTAAGTTCAACAGTGACTAGTTGTATCCAGAAAAGGAATCTCCAGGTTAAAAGCCATAGAGAACAGCCTGGATTCCTATTTCCTGGGACTACACACAAAAGACCAAATAACTTGAAATAGGACTGGTAATACTCACTCTCAGAGGGTTCTCATTGAGGTATGGAGGCTCCCCTTCAATCATTTCAATGGCCATGATGCCCAGGGACCAGATGTCAACCTTGGGCCCATAGGCCTTTCGTGTCACAACCTCTGGTGCCATCCAGTATGGGGTTCCTACCATGGTGCTCCGTTTGCTCTGCTCTGGGGTTATCTGTGCACAGAATCCAAAATCAGCTAGAAAAGAAAAATAAGAGAAAGAATATACAGTTAGGATATACACTCACTTCAGTAAGTATTGACTGTGTATGTACACACTTAGGTGACAAGCTGTGCCTGGCTCCCAGCTCTCCTATCTTTTGTCCAAAAGTCTCCAAAGTCACTTGACTGCTACCTTCATGTCTAGCTCCTAGCCTATTTCCTATTGAATCCTGAAGAGAAATAGGAAGAATATAAGAAATACCATCTCTGGCCTCCTACCCCTCCTCAAACCAAAGGACTTAAATTCCAAGCTGCCTATTTTGTTCTTGGATTGCTTGTCTGAATTCTGCTTTGTTCTTGAAAACCATTCTCATATTCCCAAATCTGGCAACTAGGTCCTTGCCTTATTCCTTGGGTATGAGTCCTTGATTTAAACCCCAATCACCTATGACTAAGCATGGCCCTGCTTTTACACCCCAGACCCAGGGCTGCTAATCATCCTTCATAAACTGCCCATCCACCCATGACACAGGCTGTTTGTCTGGACTAATGGTCTTTACACCTTTGAACAAAATGTTCTACTTGCAGTGGTTTTTATATTATATTGCAATTATAAATTTATTTAAACTGGGAAGCTTTTGATAGTACAGATTATGTCTTTTTACTTGTCCTCATATCCCTAGAAGGGCTGGCATGTACTAGACATTCAATAAAAAGTTTGCTGAATAATTGAATGAAAGAAATTACACAAAACTCTTTTTTCTAATTATCTATTACATGTTTTCCATACTAGATTGAGAACTTGAAGGTAGGGAAAATGTACCCTCAGTGCCCATCATAGGACCTAGCACAGAGTAAGCACTTAGCAAAGTTTTTTGTGGTTGTTGTTTAATGCATAAATGAACGAAAAAATAATGAAATGATGTCCTATGATTAATACAGAAGAATATAAAACAGCCCTCATATCCCATGAAATAATAAAGACCCTTTGGTGAGTGTTGTAGTTACTATTATATGATTACCATTTCACAAGAGACAGGGCCCCACAGGGAGAGAAGCATTATCATTCCTAAGGCTCCTACTTACTTAGCTTGACAGAGCCATCCATTCCCAACAGAATATTGTCGCTCTTGATGTCTCTGTGAATGACCTGGTTCGAATGCAAAAACTCCAGAGCCTGCAGACACTATTGAAGTGGTGTGGGCAGGGGGGAGAAAGAAAGGACATACATATAATACAGAAGACTTAATAGAAAATAAACTAATTCAACCTCTTCACTTTAAAATAAAGGAAGTAAGGCCCCAATGAGTAAAAGGACTTGTCCCAAATCAGTCGCAGAGCCAGATCTAGAACCAAGTCTTCCATCTCCTAGCTAAACATTCTTTTAACACTTCATGCTGCCTTTCACCTTAAAATAGTTTTCTTAATTAAAAGAGTTCCTCCAATGTATTTTGTTTTTGTTTTCGTTTTTTTAAATTAAATCCTTGATAAAGAACCTAAGGCCCAAGAAAAAATACTGAAAAAAAATGGAAAGGATCTGATAATGACAGACTAGAGAAAAACAACAAATAAGGGTCATATTTGAGGAAGCAGACATATGGAAGTGATACTAGAAGCAGTAAGTTTGCAGCATAATCTTATTTTGATGAGGAGATATGTTGTACTATTTTGGATATGCTGAATTTGACATCTGAAGACAAAGTAGGCAACTGAATTTATGAATCTTAGGTTCCATACAGGGGTTAATATTTACATGTCATTTGGGAAGAGGTGATTTTTATATACGTTATAGGAATGGTTGAATCTGGCAAAGGGTACAGGAGAAGGAGAAGAACCTTGGAAAACATCTATACTTAGCAGGCAGAATGAGTAACAAAGAGACACAATGGTACAATTAAAATGCCTGGTTCTGCTACTACCTCACTGACTATATAATTCTGGACAACTCACTCTTCTGTTCTCCCATCTATAAAATGTGGGAATCAGATGAGATCATCATGGCTTTTCTACTAAATCAATGATTTGAGCTCACTGACCCAAATCTAATTTTTAAGAAATCTACCAATTAAAAATCATTAAAGATACAAGCGAACAGGAAAATACTATTTAAATGGACCTAACCTAATACTTTACTTTGTAAGAATATACCAATGGCTAAATTAAGAATAAACCAATAGCCAGAATTGAGTTTTCCCTGAAAATGTAAGAGGTGCTCTTCTTAGAAGGTTGGAGACCCAGGTCTCAGGATATGATCAAATTATGATCAAAAAGAATGATCTTGAGAAATTGGAACTCTCATACATTGCTGGCAGGAATGTAAAACAGCTACTACAGAAACAGTTTGGCAGTTCCTCAATAGCTGAGTATGGAGTTGCCATATGACCAGCAATCCACCTGTAAGAATATACCCAAAAGAATGAGAACATGCCTCCAGACAAAAACTGGTATATGAGTATTCATAGCATAATTTTTTATAACAGCTAAAAATGGAAACAACCCAAATGTCCATTCTATTATTTGGCCATAAAAAGGAATGAGGTACTGATACATGCTACAAAATAGATGAACCTTTGAAACATAACCCTAGCTAAGTCAAAGAAGACAATTACAAAAGAGCAAATATTACATGATTCCATTTATATAAAATGTCCAGTACAGGGAAACTAGAGAGATAGAAAATAGATTAGTGGTTGCATAGGGCTGGGAGAGTCAGGGTAGGGGACAAGGAGAGTGGCTGTTAACAGATATTAATTTCCTCTTTGGGGGTGATAAAAAGGATCTAAAATTCATTATGATGGTGCTTGTAGAACTCTATGAATATACTAAAAACTAGTGAATTATATACTTTAAATGGGTGAATTATATCTCAATAAACACGTTTTAAAAAGGAGGAGATAATCTCTATTAGAACTGAAGAATAGTAATACCATCTATTATACAATATTAAAATTTTTTTCCAAGTGCTTTTTGATCCATATAGTACCCTAAGGTTTATACAGTGTGAATGCTTCAATTTCCATTTAACAGATGAATAATTTGAAGCAAAATGATTTCCCAAAGTATACATATGCATGTATTCTCCACCAGTGAAACTTGGTTCCTGAGGGTGATAAGGTGGGGTGAAAATAATCTTAGGTATTACAATGGTTTGTGACCCTCCAAAGTGCCATAGTATGTACAGCAGAGCTATATATCTGTGATGTTAAAATTTAATGGCAGGCAGTATGCTTAGGAAAAAGGCTCCTTAAGAAGGAGATAATGAAAAGAAGGTTAAGAAATACTGCATTAGTAGTGGAACAAAGGAAAAAAAGTCAGAAACCCTAAGAATCTCAGCCTGGTATTAATTCCATTAATTAATTCCAATTACTTGTGAACATTCTAGATCCTAAAGTTGTGTGCAAAGGTGACCATATTTTCTAAGTCAGTATTGGTTTCACATTTTATTCTTCTTAACACTGATTAAATATACAACTACATAATTTCAGATCTTATGCCATCAAACCCCAATCACACTGTTATACTCATCCCCACAAAATTCTGAGCCTCATCTCATCTTCTATGCTTTCCCTAATTTCCTAACTTTCCTTTTAGGTTGGGGCAAAAGCAATTGTGGTTTTTGGCTTTTTGTTTTTTTAAGTAATGGCAAAAACTACAATTACTTTTGCATTATTGGGCCAGCAAAAAGTTCTAGTCTGTCATGAGCAAAACACCCAATATCCTCAATGTGTCTGAATATTCCCTTCATCTTTTTGCTCTAATGGAAATAAAATGTGGTTATTCCCTGAGGATACTGCTTCTCATGAAGGCCTTCTGGAAGGCTTTTTGTCCACTTACATCAGTGTATTATTGATTCTAGACATTTAATAGCAATGAGGAGAAAGGAGAGTATCTATTTGAGCTTTGTTTTCTTTTTTTATTTTCCTGCAAGTATTTTACCCTAGATTTTTGCTGCCTTGCTTTTTATATATCATTCAGATGTTTACTCAGATCTATAGCAAAACCTTCCCTGAAAAACCTGTCTAAAATAGTACTTCCTCCATCACTACCTTCTTACCCTGCTTTATTTTCTTCATAGCACATAAATAAAGCAAGAAAGCAGAATAAAAATGATTGCAATATATGCCCATATAATAGAGATAAAGGAATATATTATAATGTACTTAGAGTGGTTATCTTTAAGATTGGAATTACGAGTAATGTTTTAAAATATATACTTTGCTTTTTCTACAATGGGCAGAATAAAGTTAACTTTAAAGGAAAAAACCATGGTTATAGAAATGATAAAACACAGGTACAATACAGGAATGATAGGAATGTCAGCACTAATTTCTACCACTTCCACAGAGCCCAGGCTGAGATCTCACTGGAGAGGGAACTTCAGGAGACAGGAATATGGAGGCAGCTTTCTACCCAAGACAGCTTGGCCCTTGGCCTTACCTCACGGCACACAGCTGCAATCTGGCCTTCATCCATGCAGGTTTCTGTCACCACGTCTGTCAAGGAGCCTCCAGCCAAGTATTCCATAACAACCCATAGCTCATCTCCCACAAGGTAACTGCAGGAATACAGATAAAGGGTGAGAAGGAACAATCAGAGTACACTGAGCCACAGCACTGCATTTCAAAGGCTAAGTATATACACAGAGTAAAATTATGTCTTAGCACAAAGTAAAGTAAAAGGTTCTTTAATTCAGGGTAAAGCAGAATCTAGGGGACAGAATGACTAACTTCGAATCTCTCAAGGATGCTCCTGGAGAAAACCAAGCATACATGTTCTGTGAAGCCCCAAACGGCAGAACTAAGGTCACTAACTTAAAATGACATAATAAAATTATATTTCATCACAACACAAAGGAAGACATCCTAAAATTAGAAAGACTGCCACAATTCCCACACCTCTAGAAGCATCCAAACATTGCACAAAGATGGGATTTAGAGTCCATGTTACCCAAAGAAGAGAGAGCTACTAAACCTCCCAGAGAGTCCTACCAGATCTGAGATCTATGAGACCAAGTATTGAGTCTTGTTCAAAACTCTATCCCAAGAGTCCAGCATAGCAGATGCCAATATTTACTGAATAAATCAATGAATAAAAGGTAACTGTAAATATGAAATGAAATAATGTTTATAAGTGTCCCTTAAAAGCTGCAGAGTGTTGTATACATAGTCATTATGCTGATAATTGACCTCTATTTGAATGTCTGTGATTCAAGAATGGAAGGAATTTAGCAAGGGCTTACAGAGCCAACGCCTTCTGATAAGCCGAGACTATCATTTAGTAAGGTATTCCTGGAGAGATTATGGACTGACATGAGTTAGAACTGATAGTTTCGCTCAGGAGTTGGATCACTCAGCCCTATTACATGATAAATAAAAAGGTCACTTAGCCTATCTGGTCAATGTTTCCTTACTATAGAATCAGACGAATAAAAACAAGGCAAGCCTAGAACCCTAAAGTCTTCTGCCAGTCTTGGACATAGAAGCTGGACATTTCTTGCATTGGCTTGAACTGTGTGGCATCATCTTACCTTCATCCTGATATTGGGAATACTGCTGGACAGATGTGGAGACTGTAGGAAGATTTTAACAAGTACACTCAAGCAAAGGGTAAGATTTGAATTCTATTTTTTTTTTTTTTTTACTACTAATCAGGTGCTCTTTCCATAAAACCCAGTGTTCTGATTTATGATTTTTTAATGTCCATGACAAATAAACATGATAGACTAAGTCTTTCTTCAACAATCTCTTCTGAGAGAGAAGACTATGGGGACTTGAACTCTATGGTCTGAATGTTTGTGTCCCTCAAAATTTGTATGTTGAAAATCTAATCATTAATGTCATTAGGAGGTGGGACCTTTGGAAGGTGATTACAACATGAGGGCTCTGCCCTCATGAATAGAATTACTGTCATTATAAAAGGGACCACAGAGAACTGTCTTGACCTGTCTACCATGTAGGGGACACAGGAAGACAAAATCTAGGAACCAGAAAACAGGCCCTCACCAGACCCTGAATCTTCTGCCACCCTGATCTTAGACTTCCCAACTTCCAGAACTGTGAGAAATAACTTTGTGTGATTTTTAAGCTACCCAGCCTCTGAAATTTTAGCACCCTGGGACTAAGACAGGAACCAAAAGACAATGCAGGATTGGATAAAAAGTCCTCCACAGGCATGAGCCTATTTCCTCCCTGACAAAGAATGCACATTTACATCTTCTTACTCACACACAGAAAAAACAACTATCAACCTGAACTGAGTGGGGGAAGAAATATGAGGGTCTAAATGACTATCTCTGGCCACTGACAAAGCAGATCCCCTTTTCCTGGGCCTGACATGTCATTGTCAAAGCTAAAACAATACAGACCAGATTCAGTCTGTCCCAAACACTTTGTGGCTACACACTGTGTCAGCATATTTTCAAAAATTCAGTCTCAAAGCTAAAGCCCCAGAGCATCACATATTGATGGAGTTCATCCATATATGATGAAGTTCCCCTTTGGGACATCTCACAACAACCACAGACCCTCATTTGCAACATCTTCACTGAATGCTCAGGTAAAGGGCAACTTCTTCTATGATCTTACAGAGGTGTATTTTTTCTATAGCAGACCAGGAGCTATTGGAGGGCAAAGATAGCATTATTTACTTCTGATTTCCAGAGAAAAAGCCTCTGGGAATACCAGTAAAGGTATGATTTTTTTTTTTTTTTTTGAGACGGAGTTTCGCTCTTGTGACCCAGGCTGAAGTGCAATGGTGCAATCTCGGCTCACTGCAACCTCCACCTCCTGGGTTCAGGCAATTCTCCTGCCTCAGCCTCCCAAGTAGCTGGGATTACAGGCACGCGCCACCATGCCCAGCTAATTTTTTGTATCTTTAGTAGAGATGAGGTCTCACCATGTTGACCAAGATGGTCTCGATCTCTTGACCTCATGATCCACCCGCCTCGGCCTCCCAAAGTGCTGGGATAACAGGCGTGAGCCACCGCGCCCGGCCAAAGGTATGATTAATAAACAAATCTGTAAGTCTTTTAATCCTACTCCCAGAATACAAATTCCTTCAATAACATGGTCTTATCATGTAGATGCTTCCACTGACGGATAACTCACCACTATGTGAGACAGGCCATACTCTTACTGACAGCTTTCATTTTTCCATATCCTGAGCCAAAATCTAATACCCCTGTCACCTTTGGTAGTTTCCAAGAGCTATATCTCTGTCTAATACGTTCTGAAAGAGATGATAAGGTACTAACTTTCAGAGGATTGTTCAGACCCAGTCAGGACCCACATTAAGGAGACAGAGCAGCACAAAGAAGGTTTTATTCTTTCCATTATTGGGAATATCAAAGTTCAACTCCTTTCTTCTTTAAGGTAACTGAAGCTTACTCATGTTTTAGATGTAGAACAAGAAGGCACCCTTATGAAATCTACCAGTAACAGGAAGAGGTAGCTGGTCACGCAGTATGAGAGGTAAAGAAATCAGAGTCCAAGATTTAGTACAATTTTACCTCCACCTATGATGTCTCTGAACCCTGGGCAAGAAGCTTAACTTTTTTTTTTCAGGTATTGGAGAAAACAATATATATAATAGAAAGGGCATTAATACTGGTGCTAGGAATATCCAAATTCAAAACCCTGCTTTGCTGTTTTCTGGCTTACTACTCTTGGACAAGTTATTAACATCTATAAACCTCAGTTTCCTTGTCTGTAAAATATGGATAAAAATCCCTACCTCACAATGAGATATTGTTCATGAAAGTGCTTGGTACAAAGTAAAGCCCAATACAAATATTATCTACAACCACTGTTACTATTTTGAAAAACACAATTTTGATAAGCTGGAATCATGGGCTTAAATAATAAAAATGGGACTTATTGAAGATAGTCAAAAAGTTCTACATTTCCAGTTTAATGCAAGTTTATGTAAAAAAAAAAATCAGAAATTTTAGTTGACTGTAAGCAGACATCCTAAAAGATAAAACAAGAATGAAATCATTAAGCTATGTTGAGTTTAGAAGGAGTCCCACTCTCCCCATAGTGGTCATATCTCAAATAAAACATCTAGTTTTGAGCACAGCATTTTAAGAGAATATAAACAAACTAGGAGTTATTCAGAAGGATGAGCAGAATAAGGAAAGATTTGGGATGTAAAATGAGTTAAGGACCTAGATGTTTGACTCAGCAGATGGTCTGGTAGGTTTCCCTTAGGCAAAACAAACAGTACTAGGATCAACTGTTAGAAGCTTTATAGTGGTAGAGTTCAGCCTAACACAGAAGGATTTTCTAGCAATAAAGGTGTCCGGCATTACACAGAGACAAATTCAGAGAGCTCAGCATCACAGAAGACTCTTAAATGGAGGCAGTTCTGAGTGCTGACACTGGCCTCTTCTCTAACAGCTTCACTACCAATCAGTCCCAAAGCCCTGTCCCTCTGATAAGACCCACTACTTCATACCTGTCCAAGTAATTCACAATGTTTGGGTTCTTGTTTTCCCTCATGACCAGGATCTCATTAATTATCAGCTCTTTCTTGGGCTGCTGCTGAAGATTCATCTGCTTAATGGCCACCTGAAATCAGAGTATATTCATTGTGCAACCAAAATCATTCTCATTAACTGAGTACCTACTAAGTACCAGACCTTAAGTACTCAGGAAACAAAGATATAGTCTTAGCCCTCAAGTAATTCACAATTTGTCTATGTAGACCAGTGGTCTTCAAAGTGAGGTCTCAAGCCAGCATCATCATCATCTAGGAGCTTGTTGGAAATAAAAACCTCAGGTCCCAACCCCAAACCCACTAAATCAGAAATTCTGTGATGTAGTAAGTCCTCCAGGTCATTATGATATACACCAAAGTTTCAGAATCAAACTTTGGTGTAGAAAAATACTTTAAAAAATTCACAATAGAAAAGAGATGCTATATCAGAGGTTCATACAAAAATGCTACCGAAATACAAAATACAGCAAAAGCCAAGAACTCTTTCAATCTGGCCAGGTATAGATGTTTCATAAAGGGGGAGGTGACTTTCCAAACCTGATGTAGAAAGATAAATCAGAGTTGACCAGGTTAAGAAAGAAGACAAAAAGAGGATGAGAGCTCTATCTACAGAAATAAAAAAAAAAAAAAATTCCACACAACATGAATGTAAGGTATACTTTAGTTGCTAAGGCACTTGGTATCCATTCCTTTCTATGTGTCAGGTACTATTATAAGGTGTTCTCAAATTTGTTATTTCATTTAACATTCAAAGACACCTTGTGTGCTAAGTATTATTAATGTTTCAACAGATGAGGAAATTGTGTTTCAGAGAGGATATGACTTACACACACAGCTATTCAATAGCAAAATTAGGATTAGAACCCTCAAAAGGGATGCCAAGTTATCCTGTACATGTAGCCAGATTAATTCACCCCCCACAGTATACATACAATAACCTTGTTCAAAAACTTAGATGGCTCTTGGTTGCCTAGAAATGTTTCTCAGTACAATATTCAAAGTTCGCATGATCTGGCCCCTACCTTACTTCCAGCTCTATTCCTTCAAAAAGGAGTGTTCATGGAGAACACGCCATGTTCTCCCTGATATCTAGTCCCTTTTCCTTTGTTCAGAATCTTCTCTACCTCTGGAATAGCCTGTTCATTTCCACAAAAGCTACTTATGCTTTGTATCAGGCCAAAGGAAACTTCATTCTCCAAACCCAATATGCCTTTTCCCTTCTTTAAAGTCCTATAAGATCATATTTATCCCTCTCTTATGGAACTTACAACTTGCTACCATGTATAATGACTAGTTAGGGGTGTGTAGTGATTGAAAGCCCAGAATCCCCAATGCCAAACACAGGGTTTTACACACATAGAGCTGGTGCTCGACAAATGTCTGCAGAAAGGAAGAAGGCAACAGAGAAGTCAGTAGGTTGGTAAGTACTTTGTTTTTAAATAAAAACAACAAAAAACTAGCAATAGGCTCCTGTATCCCATAGGAATATACTTTAAATTACTTGCTAAGTGTTCATTTTCTAGAGCTATTTTCTCTTTTTCCTGCTTAGTAGACAAGAACACGAACATCTAATAGAACTAACTTGTCTTTTCAGAAACAGCAAGAAGTATAAACAAGGAATGATTCAAACTTTTATGTGACAAATCCCTGACTCTATTATTTCTTCAAGTCAAGAATGGACAGTCTTCTGCAGAGACCAAATTAATCATTAAGAATAGAAGTAATTCTGTTAAAAAATCTGATCACCTCCATTCCCTGCCTCAAGTAAGGAAAAATTGCTTTGGAGTGGGGTTTCTTGTTAGGTCAGGCTTCTGGTCTGGCTGTAGCTCTCTATAACAGCTGAGCATTAGTTTTTCCCAATATTTGAAAAGCAACATGCTGATCTAACGATATTAAATATAGTTAGCCCTTATCACACACATTAAGGACTGGAGCCAGAAGAATGTCTTTGGAGTTACTCATGCCATCTTGGAGGATGGGACACTGCTTATGAACCTCACAGTGGTCACTGCTGGCAGCAGCAAGGGAGGAGAGGCAGAAAGAGACTACTAACATGGAGGCTGTTTCTCTCTCTCTCTCTTTTTTTTTTAGAGATGAAGTCTTGCTCTGTTGCCCAGGCTGGAGTGCAAAGGTGCAATCTTGGTTTACTGTAACCTCTGCCTCCCATGTTCAAGTGATTCTCCTGCCTCAGCCTCCTGAGTAGCTGGGATTACAGGCATCCACAACCATGCCTGGCTAATTTTGGTATTTTTAGTAGAAACAGGGTTCCACCATGTTGGTCAGGCTGTTCTCAAACTCCTGACCTGGTGATCTGCCTGCCTTGGTCTCCCAAAGTGTTGGGATTACAGGCGGGAGCCACCACGCCCAGCCAGGCCTAGCTATGGGCTAGGCTAAGTGTCCTTCAGCTAATCAGACCTCACCTGATAGGAGATAGCATTCCTATAAGAGAAAAAGGACTGGTCTTGAACTCTGAGGACTTAAGCTGAGGACCTGACTGTCACTTACTGACCTTGACCAATCACAAGCTTTCGGAGCCTCAGTCTCTTTATCAATGCACTGAAGTTAATTGCAACTTTGATTCTCCTCTTCTCAGGATTGCTTAGAATACCAAGTGAGACAATGGCCAATGCATTACATATAAGTAATAAGTAAATAATTTAACCAATAAAGTTAGACAACAATGAAAATGGTAATCATAGCAATAAAGTATTTAATAAGTACTTGGCACAGCAACCACTCTCCCACCACTACTGTGTGCCAGGCTCGGTGCTAGAGGCCCTACTTATATTATCATAGTAAAACCTTACAACTCTGCAAAGTAAAAATTATGACTTGTATTTTCAGGTAAGAAAACTGAGGCTAAGATTTGCAAGAAAATTCTAAGGTCATAACTAATGCCCATAGGTCCATGTAACTCCAAAGACTCTTTCAGTGTGTTATACACATTCTCTCTAAAAACATGCTTGAAAAATAATTGTTGGATCTGTAACTGGAAGACTTCCCAGCACTAACATTCTTCCTATATGTGACACAATAGCTCTGCCCTTCTAAGCTAGATAACCCCCAGTAAGCACGCACTGGCAGAGACTGAGAGCATCCTGCCAACTCCACTAAAGATTTATACTCCTTGGTGCAGGAAATGAAGTGTTCCTGACCACACTGCATTAGCCACCCCAATGGACTCCCTTCCATTCATAGTTTTGTAACCACAAGGCAGGCACACAATGAATTTAAATTTCTCTTTCTTCTGGCCAGCTTCTCACACAGTCAGCCTCCAGGCCTTCCAGGAACCACCGCCATCACCTATCTGCCTCCCATCAAGGGCTGTAAGGCCTGAGAGGCCAGAAACATGACAAGAGACTCTAGTATCTAACCTCAGCTCTGTTGTGCTCTTACAGCCCAAAACACATAGGATTAAAAGTCAAAGATTCTAATCTAGTGCCTGCTAATCGCTGACAGTACAACTTTGCAAAAAAGTTATTTATACATCCTGAGCCTCAAATTCCTGAGCAGTAAAAAAAAAAATAATATTACCTACCTCACAGAGTTCTTTTCAGGATTGGTATAGCCTTCTCTTTTTTATCTCTGCATCATATTCACCATCATTAAAATGCCATGATAATACTATCCTTCCTTCCTCACCATTATTTTTACTTTAAGGCAGATTCCTGTCAATATTACAAGACTTTTATATGCACACAAAGGAAATTATGGTCTCTTACATTTACATATGATTTTAATGTCTGAGAACTTTCACAGAGTTCTTAGCATAAGGTGTGGCATAAAGCAAATGCTTTGTGGAATACATACATATGTATATGAGTAAAAATGAATAAATATGAGTATGTAGTTCATAAAGTTTATAATGCATTTTCACATGTATTGCTTTACTGAATTATTTTTTTTTTTTTTGAGACGAAGTTTCACTCTTGTTACCCAGGCTGGAGTGCAATGGCGCGATCTCAGCTCACCGCAACCTCTGCCTCCTGGGTTCAGGCAATTCTCCTGCCTCAGCCTCCTGAGTAGCTGGGATTACAGGCATGTGCCACCATGCCCAGCTAATTTTTTTTAATTTTTTTTTTTTTTAGTAGAGACGGGGTTTCACCATGTTGACCAGGATGGTCTCGATCTGTTGACCTCGTGATCCACCCGCCTCGGCCTCCCAAAGTGCTGGGATTACAGGCTTGAGCGCTTTACTGAATTCTTTCAACAATTTTGTGAACATTTTATCATGTACATTTTATAAATATATAAAGTTCAGGCTCAAAGAGGTCAAATAACTGCTCAAGGTTATATAAGCAGCTAAAGGCTTATAAGCATGTAGGTCTTTGGATTCTGACGTCAAAGAACAATGAATAAATCCTTAACTGTAATAATGATTTTTAAAAGTTGGCTTACCCTGAGTAGAGCCTTAATATTTGGCTTTAACACTTTAAAAACTCATGAGAGCCTAGTGAGATATGTATTGCCCCTATTAACTGTGACTTCTCCAGGGTGCCACATGGTTTCAACCACCAAAAATATAGACACACGTTTCAAGCAGCCTCCCTCAGAGAAGCCCAACTCTATTTTCATTGGAAGAGGGGTGCCTCTCTCAACTGCTGTGTTCCAGTACTCTTTGAAGTAAGTACTTCTTCTGGACAGCTGCCATCCACAGCTCACTGGCTGACACTCCTCTGCAACCAAATACTAGAATACAAGGAAACCTCGAGTACTCTATATTCCCTTCATAGCTTCCTTTTACTGAAGATAAGACCTTGGGTCAGCAGGATTTAGCAATAATGTCAGAGTTCTCCTGGCTTAATGAAATGAGAGGGACAAAAAGCTGCTTCCATATAAATGAGGATTTCACTGTTCAGTGGAAAGTAAAGTTAGAACCAGTATATTAGAAATCAAGAGACATGGTTTAAATCTCCGCTACATCAGATTTCTCTAACAAGCCCCAAACGTGTATAAAGCAAATATCCACCTGACAATCAGGCAGTATCCAATTTCTTTTTTCTTTCTCCTTGAATATTACTAATTTGTAAGTAATGTTCACATCCAGTCAATCATCTAATTCTGTCAAACCTACCTGCTAAGTATCTCTCAAATCCATCCACTTCCTTCCATCTAATTATGTCACCTTAGTCCAAACCTTAAGTTTCATCATGTTAGCCTGCTATTTGGCTCTAGTATACTATAGTAAGAAACTAGAAATGTTCCACCTGGGCACGGTGGCTCAGGCCTGTAATCCCAGCACTTTGGGAGGCTGAGGCAGGCAGTTCACCTGAGGTCAGGAGTTCCAGAGCAGCCTGGCCAACATGGTGAAACCCCATCTCTACTAAAAATACAAAAATTAGCCAGGCGTGGTGGTGGGTGCCTGTAATCCCAGCTACTCGGGAGGCTGAGGCTGGAGAATGGGAGAATGGCTTGAACCCAGAAGGCGGAGGCTGCAGTGAGGGGAGATCACCTTTGCACTCCGGCCTGGACTACAGAGTGAGACTGTCTCAAAAAAAAAACAAAAACCCAGAAATGTTCCTATTGATCTAAGAAGGGCGAAAAATTAATCCCAAATAAAGAGAAATAGTAGAACTGAAGGAGCAACACTGGGCAGTGGATACTTACCTCCTGTCCTGTGGCCACATCCATTGCAGTGTACACGGTACCTGAAGCACTGAATAGTAGGTGGGAGAGAAAGAGGGAAAAAAGCACAGTGTTCAACGAAGTGATATTTGTCAAATGCAGCTCTACATACAATCTGGCAGTGGGAATCTAAAAAATAATAGCAGTAAAAATAATTCTCTCCCTCTAGCTCTCCTACTCTTATATTTAAGAAGCCATAAGTGGTAGTCAAGAGAATGTAGGCTGTAGTGGCCAAGAGACCTGAATTCCAACCTGGTACTTCTACCTAGTGTCATCTACTAGGCAGGATATTGAGAAAGTTAGTTAACTTCTCTGAGCTTCACTTTCTTCATTTGTGAAGTGGACATAAGAGTATATAAGAGAATTTCAATTGATTAGTTCATGTAAAGTACTTAGCCAATTGCATGACATATAATGGATGTTCAATATATACTAATTTCCTGTTCCTACTTGCTTCCCTCCTCTCCTCCATCACCCTTGGCAATGGCTCTAATTTCTTGTGGCTTCAAACTCTTCATCTATAAAAGGGAGAAGATTAGATCTATGATTTTCAACTGCAGGGTGAGAGGTGAAGAGAAAGGGGCCCTGGGGAGAATTTCAGAATGTGTTTGGGGATGGGGTGGTGGGTCTTATATATTTATCAAAAAGAAATATGGACTTCTGGGGTGTCAGTAATGTTCCTTTTCTCAATCTGGGTACTGATTACATGGGTGTGTTCACTTTTTGAAAATTCATTGAGTTGTACACTTACGTATGCTATCTTTAGTAAACATTTACATTAAAAAACTCTAAATAGTAAAAAACCATAAAAACTTGAAGAACCATATTGAATAATCTAAAATAATCTCAAAGAGCCCTTCCCACTCTGATATTATAGGATACTATGACCCTTTAAAATAAAATAATGTTTTTCAACCATTTATTCCATCAATAGGATATGTGAGTTTTGTTTTCTGTAGTTTGTATTATAAAAGTGGTTTTTAGTTTTCATTTTTCAAACATAAAATATTAAATATACTCTTTCAAACATATATGCTCCCAGAAAATATGATAGTGCCTCTACCCCACCCCTAAGGTAAGACCAACCCCACTAGACACATGTATGTACACATATGTATGTAAGTATATACACATTCATATATACAGACAGAGAAGGGGTGAAGAAATGCTAAAAATAATGCTAGGAAAGTAATCACGTCCATTCAAAATAACTAAAACCCCCACTTTATGCTTATTACCATAAACCCTGTATATTTGTAAGTAAGTAATTTGTAACATACACTTGTACCTGTACATGCCATATGTTAGGTACATATAACGCAATTTGAAGAAAATTAAAATTCTGCTCTATTGCAAGAATGCTTCCTAGGCAAGCCCTGAAATTATAATTCCTTGAGAAGTCAGGTCAATCCAGGGGGAAAAGTCACTTACAAGCATGCCTTGCAGCTAGAAACTATGGTCACCAGCTCCTTAACTATATCACTCTTTAGTTGGGACCAGAGTTACATGCCTGGAAACTGTGATTATAACATATTAGCTATCAAATAAGGATTGGATAACTTGCACGGGCAGTTATTTCTTCACTGCCTGATTATCCTGTCCCTAGCCTACTTCTGTTATAAAGCTGGTATCTGTCTTTCTATCCCATCCCTTCCTAATCCTACTAGATGTACTATTCTTAAAGGACAAACATGCCCAAGCCTCAGGGGACTGGACATTTGGAGACTGTCTCCATGATTGTAAAGTTCTAGAAAGCTACTCAGGCCCAGTGGCTAATACCTGGTAATTTCTAATTTGAATAGACATATAATTAGACATATGATTCCAAGTCCAAAATAAGAATCTTAAAAGAAATTCTTAAGGTCTTAAAAAAGAAATAAAAGCAAGCAAACATTACAATATTACTAATTCATCATATTGGTGTGGCACTTATATTTTAAAAATTATGGAATGTGGAAACATCAGCATAGGTGCTTAATAAATATTTCATTCTTCCCTTAGCACTAACAGACCTGCCAAGTAAGCAAGGAAAGAACTTGTGCAGATGTTGTCTGTTTATAAATAGACAGACGTTGTAGATAAATACCTCAAAAAAAATGTCACAAAGTTTTGACCCTCAATTTACAATCTCTCTTCCTTAATTGTACAGGAAGAAAGTCCAGAGAAGAAACCTGACTTGCCTAAGCTTGTCTATGTACATTTCTGCTACATTCTTAATATCTCAATCTCGCTACCTAAAGGAATACCATCCCACATTACTCTGAGGCAAGCAAAATAATTTTTTCTCAAGGTGTTAAATACCTTATACCAGTTCAGACTCACAAAAGCCTGTCTAGTCTGAAAAACAGTGGAACCAGAAAAAAATGAGATCCACTCAAGCCCAGAGTTGTTTTGAGGATTAAACAATGAATGCAAATAACACATGTGAACTGTAGAATACTGTATAAACATAACCCTATATTGTGCAATCTTTTATCTTATTTTCAGAAATTTTTGGGTGCATAAAGCACACAAGAGGAACTCAGTTAAGATTTGCTGAATTCATTACACTGAAGGCAGCATACAAGATAACACAGAAGGAGGAATGCCAGACAATAAATTCTGGTATCTACTTAGAAAAACTAGTAGAAGTGTTTATAGTTCTGGGTCTTCCATTTTATACTAGTGCTGGTAGATCTCAGCACTAGGACAAAGAGGGTTCATCTGGAAAAGCAGAGTTGTAATTTGGGAAGCTGGTTTTGTGCTAAGAAAAAAAATCATTCTCTCACTGTCACTGCAGGAGTATTTTTAGCAACATGGTCAGCTAATGGCACATCTTTCATATTAAGCATAATTCTGCCAAATCTGAAGTCAGCCTAACATAACAACTCCAGATGGGTGAGCAGTAAAGTGGAGAAAAAAGAACAAGATTTATCAGAGGGAAAACAAAAGCAAAATCATATATGCCAGCACACACACTTCAAAGTCATTTTTCCAGAGAAAGAAAATGCCCCTACTAACCCTTGTCCAATCTTCTCAAACCGTGTATATTTCTTCTTAGGATCGCCCACACTCACTATGCTTCCTTTGAAAGAAAGAGAGACCATGAATCATTTTTTCCCAAATCAAGATACAAAAAAGGTCCTACATTTCCCCAACCCCTGGAGTTGGCAAGGATTAAAGAACTACCTCCAACAGCCAAAAAGCATGCTAAATAGGCCCTCAGCTTTTCCCCCGTAAGTCCCAACCAAAAGTTTCATCTCTTTAACTGCTTTGATTCATAGTAAGCTATCCCATTTCTAAACTCCTAAAAATCTATGCATTCATTTTTTAATTAATCCATTCAATAAATATTTACTCATTTAATATGCACCAAGCCATATGCTGAGGTAGGAATGAACAGATGTGACACAGTCAAGGCAGTCCCTGCTCTCAAGAAGGTCAATTTCATGGGAGAAGACAGATAAGCATGAAGTTCCATGAAAATATAATTGCTGTGATAAATGACAAAAGGGTACAGAAAGAGGCACCAAAAAAAAAAGAGAGAGAGAGAGAGAGAGACTGGAAAAGCTTCAGAAAGGTGATATATAGACTGATTTCTACTTTAACTAAGTAGGAGTTAGCCAGAGAGATAAGTAGAGAAGAGGTTTACAACAAAGAATACTTCAAGTGCAAAGACATAGAGGTTTTTCATTGGGTATTACAACGTGTATTTTAGGGATGGGGAAATTGAGGCCCACAGAAGGGAAGAAGATACTTCCCCAAGGTCACACAGTAAATTGGTGTCAGAGCTAAGATTAGGAGTTTCGTTTTTAGTCTCCCAGTCCAATGTGCTCTCCATTAATACCCAAGTACTAAAAATTGGTACTTTTCATATAAATTACCTCATTTGATTTACAAATGAGACAAGTATTAACATCCCTATTTTAAAAATGAGAAAAATAAAGTTTAGAGGACAGTAGAAAATTGCCCAAGACACAAGTCAGTGGCTGGGCAGAAGCTTCAACTCAAGTGTCCTACCTCCCAGACCAAGTCTGTTTTCCATAATTCTAGGTATTATTGTTAAAAAAAAAAAATTCTAGTTTAGAGAACAAGACTATATACAGGAGTAACTAGATAACTAGACAAGTGGCTTTTCTTACTTTGTCATTTTATGAGGGATCCAGAAAAGGGCAATTTTTAAAATAGTGAAAATTTTTTTTAAAGTCACACGGGAATTAATCAGGAAGAACTAGAGAACCAGAAACCTTGGCTTTGGAAAGCAATGCCAGTTTGCAAATGTCACCAAATCAGTCACATCAAATCCTCTTTGGAAGTAAGTAGATACAGTGAATAAATTAAAGCCCTTGTCAAATGATTCTTCCAAGCCCACAGATCAACCTAGTTCTTCCTTCTAATATGAATTCTTTTGCAGTTTATACAGAAGTAAGCTACCCTAACATACCCCCATTTCTGGCAGCTAAAGAAAGTAAAATGGAAGTTTCCACTTGACAGCAAGTACATGCTCTACTTACAGGAACAAAAACTTATGTTCTAACCTTAGCCCTGTCACTTTTTAGCTGTGTGATTTTGGCCAGGATGTTTAGCCTCCCTGAGCCTCAAGTATCTTAATTACAA